ACATGACAATATAGAAGGTCAGAGTTTTGTAGCTTTTAGTACTATCGTTTTTATTTGATGTGTCTTTAGCATTTATCCCCAATGCTGGTACAAACCTGGAAGCAATGACTTTGTTTTCAAAGCCCTTTTATTTTTTATTTATTTTTATTTTTACTTTTAAAGATTTTATTTATTTGAGAGAGAGTGGGTGGAGGAACAGAGGGAAAGAAACAGGCAGACCACACACTGAGCATAGAGCCCCACAAAGGGTTCTATCCTATGACCCTGAGATCACAACCTGAACTGAAACCCAAGAGTTGGACGCTTAACTCCGTGAGCCACCCAGGTGCCCCTCAGAGTCTTTTTAAATTCAAGATCTGCCCTGTAACTGACAGGTAGAAGTTGAGAGTGCCACTTTCATTCTATCCTTTTACCCAGAATTCACTTGTTTCAGTGTTTCCCCTTGTTCATGAACATGTGTGAAAGAGAGGGTGGGGAATGATGGAGAAGAAACCTTTTATTAATCCCAAATCTATCCTCTATTTGTCCTGGGTTGCCTACTTCTGACCTGCATTGCCAAGAACATAGTCATTGGAAGATGGAATTAGTCATTAACCAAATATTCAAGTGTACACATATTTAGAGGCAGTTTCAGATGCTTAGGGAGATAAAAATCCCAAAATAAATTTGTCAAGGCATCTGCCAGTGTGGAGCCTTCATGTGAGGGCTAGGGTAGCTTAAACATTGTTAATCATAGTGTGGCAGTGGACCTGCAGCATGGGCATCACCTTGGAGCTTGTTAGAAATGTAGAATGTCAGGCCAGGCCCCACTCCAGAACTTCTGGCCCAAAATCTACATTTTAGTAAGATCTCTAGATGATTCATAGGCACAGAAAAATTCCTGAAGCAATGGCCTAGAACATAGTGGAAAGTACTGTGAGAATTCAGGATAGCTACACTTTCTTAAAAGCACTTTACATAAAATTATCTTGTTGAATTTTCATAACTTCAGGAAGTAGGTACTTTTCCCTTCATTTGACATACAGACTTAAGGATGGAGTGTTTTCCCTAGCTGTTAGAAGCTGGGGATAGGTGGAGCCTCGTTTCCAGTTTCTTCTGACTGGAAGGATATCAGGGAGGGGAACTTCATGTGAAGAAAGTACATCAAAAAGTTGCAAGTGGTGTTTAAATTAGTGCCAAAAAAAACATAGTTCTGTAATGAAACAGTATATTGTTTGTGGGAGTGAATAATGGGATATAAAGTTTGAAGTGTAAGTATAAGCCAGGTCATGCAGATCCAATTCTAATTCTACATCTATTGACGTTTTCTCATTTGAGGAAAGAGGAAAACTGGCTCATACTGTTTCTGTGAGTCTGTTTCTCTTTCTGAGAGGAATTTATAAAAGAAAGGTTTCTCAGTCCCTTCTCCCCACCTCTCACCCTCACGATAGACTGTGATGCCTCTCACTTTATCCTGCTGACTCAGGGGCAAAGCCTTCTGTTATGTAGAGCTGAGACTGGAAAGGGGGACCCGCTCTAATCTGACTTGCTTGGTCTACACCTGCAGGAATAGATTCTGTGATAGACTGCATTTGGAAGTCGGAACCACTTTGAGAACAGGAACCAGGATAGTCAGACTTAACCTGTCAACCTGTATTTGACAGGTTTCACCTGTATTCCAGGCGCCTGAAGGCACAGGAAAGCTACAGCCAAATATTCACGAAGCAACACTATCTGCCAACTCCTGGGTGTAGAACTTCACAGTTTCCTGCATCGTGGAGATGAGAGTCTAGTAAAGAAGATACACAATAAACAAAACAATACAAATGAAGTGCTACATGAGAGCTGTGGCTGTGACAGGACCCCCAAAAAAGGCCAGGAAAAGCTGCTTTGAGGAAGGGACGTTTGAAGTGAAACCCAAAGAACCAGTAGGAATTAGCCAAAGAGTATAATCGTATTGTGTGGAAAGGCTTTGTGGTGTGTTCATGACATTGATGAGTCTGGTATAGCTGGTGCTGAGAGTAAAAATGGGAAAAGGAAATGAGAGAAGGCTGGATAGGTAAACAGCAACCAGGTATTTTAGGGCTATGTAACCAGCTTCTAGATTTTTGATTTTGTTTGAAAGGCAATGAAGAACGTATAAGGCATAAAGTAAGCATTGCATGAGTCCGAAGTTCCATCCTAATAGGGTCCGATGTGGAAGATTACTGGGTGGACTGGCTGGATAGATGGATTGATGACTATCTAAAGGTAGGCTGAGATGCCTTGCATATTGATAATTCTTCGTTGTTGGACGTTTTCCGGTGTCTAAGAAGGGAGTCAAACTATAAATGGGGTTTTTTTTTTGGACTAGATTCTTTTAAGTCACCTTACACTATTGAGATTTACAATACTGTGTATTTTGTCATAAATGTTACTACAAATAATAGTTGCACTTACCTTTATGGGTAGCTTGGTTTTTTTTTTTTTTTTAAGATTTGTATTTATTCATGAGAGACAGAGAGAGGCAGAGACATAGGCAGAGGGAGAAGCAGGCTCCCTGCAGGGAGCCCAATGTGTGACTCAGTCCTAGGACCTTGGGATCACGACCTGAGCCAAAGGCAGATGCTCAATCACTGAGCCACCCAGGCACCCTAGCTTCTTCTTTTATACAAATTATCAAATTCCCATTACAGGCCTACAAGGTAAGGAATTACTCCCACTTCACAAATGAAGATAGACATTAGGGCTCAGGTTTAGTAATTTGCTCAAGGGAACAAGGTCAGTGAATGGGAGAGCCAAAACTTTTAACCCAGATTCATTGTACTCCCAAAAGCCTACCCTCTTAACAGCTACCCTATAAAGATTCTGTCCAAACAAGTACACAAATACGGTAATAGGCACTTGATGAATGAACAGTTTAGACCATAAGGATATTTAGGATTCTTTCCGGGGATTTTGCATTCACCTAATATTTTGTTTAATGCCTGTTATGTGCCAAGCCCTAAGGATACAGTAGTCAATAAAAGGGGCATGGTCCCTGTCTTCCTTAAGTTTACAACAGTCACGGAAACGCCTGGGTGGCTCAGTGGTTGATCCTCTGCCTTCGGCTCAGGGCGTGATCCTGGGCCTGGGGATCGAGCCCACTTCAGGCTCCTGCATGGAGCCTGCTTCTCCCTCTGCCTGTGTCTCTGTCTCTCATGAATAAGTAAATTTTAAAAATTTTTAAAGTTTACAACAGGGAAGACCAATGTTAAACCATAAATTGCACAAATAACTATAATTATGTCAAGTGCTTTGAAAGTAAGGGGTAAGGTGCCGTTTAACAGGGGGCTCTAATGTAGTAAGGAGAGTCTCAAGTAATGATTTAGTTGTCACAGCCCTATCTTTCTCCAAAAAGTTTCTGGTTACCATTCTTTAATGGTCTCTGACCTATCTCTAATCTAATAGCCAAATCCAAAGTCTTATCTGAGTCACTTTTATTCCTTGCTAGAAAGAATTCTCAGTGTTGTCAGCCAGTAGCCGACTGTGGATTTAACATCAATAGCAGTCACTCGTAAATCGGTAGGTCATTTCACCCTGACATAAGTACTACATTTCCTTTTTCTTTTTTTTAAGATTTATTTATTTATTCATGAGAGACAGAGAGAGAGAGACAGAGAGAGAGAGAGAGAGAGGCAGAGACACAGGCAGAGGGAGAAGCAGGCTCCATGCAGGGAGTCCGATGTGGGACTCGATCCCAGGGCCTGGGACCATGCCCTGAGCCCAAGGCAGACGCTCAACTGCTGAGCCACCCAGGCGTCCCAGTACTACATTTCCAACAGCACTCGAGACTCCATTTTCTGGATGTGTCTCTGATACCTGAAGCTACCTGCCATACCTCCCCTTCCTGCAAGAACAAAACAATTATTCCTCCTATTACAAACCTCCCTATTACTGTTCTTTCAACCTGAATGAACAAATTGAAATACAATCAGACAGTACTTTTCTAAAAATTGTCATAACCAACCCTTTCGCCCCTTCTTTTTTGTGCCTCTCCCCTCCTATTGGTGCAAACCCTCTTTTGGATTCTTGCTGTCTTCACAATTGACCTCACTGTTTAGAATATACGTGTGTGAACTCTTCTCATAAGGTTTTTGCATACAGATGGTACATATTTTCATACCTCCACGCTGAATGTAGATAGGTACTAGTCAGCAAATAATTGATTTGATAACATGTCATATAAGTTACTGCACAATACGCTACAGTTTACAAAGTGTTTAGAAAATTATACCATCTATTTCTAATATAAACTTTGTAAAGGATGTGGAATCCCCATCTGTAAACAGATGAGCAAAATGAGGCTCAAATATGTTTAAATAGTCTTCCCAAAGATCACGATTTCTACATAATAGTGACATGTGAAAAAAACGAATGCTGCAAAATAATCCAGTAATAATCTCCTTCCACATTTACCAAGTAAACTATTCACTCTTTAGGAAAGCTTTCTTTAAATCCTCTCAAGTCTCCACTTAACCTCAGTTTTCTCATTTGCCATGTAAAAATAATTGCTGTCCCTTCCATGTGTCATTGGAAATGTTCTGTATCTACACTCTCCAAGCCATATTGGCTAACTTAAATGTAATTACAATTAAATAGAATGTAAAATTCAATGTCTTGGCCACACTATTCACATTCCAAGTGACGACTGGCTACTATATTGGACAGAGCAGATATAGCATATTCCCATTATTGCAGAAAGTTCTATTTGGACAGTGCTGTGCTACAGCTAAAACTTGCCAAAAATCGAAGAAAGCAATATTACTGAACTGAAAATCTAGGCAAGTGTCTGATTGAGTGAGAAATCAGACACTGATTTGAGTGGGAAGCACTGGGTGAGTGGGAAGCAAGCTGACCTTTAGACCTTTAGAACAGTGACATCACAATGCACAGTTCACAGTGGCTCCAGAACACCTGGCTCCCAGGCCACTCTCCCTAACGCATATCTAGGTTCCTGAAGCCTCTGTACATGTAGTTCCTGGAGCTGCTGTCTTATTAAAATGTCAACATATTTTTCTTCATCTTCATCTGTCTGGGACAACGTCGTAGATTACCTTTCTCTGAGCTCAATATGGAATTGGCTACAAGCAACTCTTCTGGGAGAGACTAGTCCACCTCAGCAAACAAATTTGGGTCTACTAGATAATCTTGGTCCAACTGTGCAAGTTATCCTGGGGATTTCCTTTTTGCTTTTGTTGGGAATAGGAGTGTATGTCATGTGGAAACGAAGTGTTCAGTCAATTCAGGTTATACTCTTTTGTTACAGAGGAATTTAAATAATTCTAAATTGAAATTTGGTTAGTCCTCTCCTGTATTCCTGCTACCCAGTTTTAAGACCCTGCAGATGAGCAAAGATGAACCCTAGTCTCTGAAATCAGTTGAAACTAGATTAACCTTAAAAACTTTTGCCAGTTAGGTTTTTAGCATAAAATGCTCTTTCTCACAGCGGTCTTTGGCTTGTTTTAGAATAAAATAGATCAAACAAGTTCATAAACTGAGAAGGCAGCCTAACCCCAAGTTTATTTGATCACATATTCATCTTTCATTTCCTGCTATGTGCCAGACACAGTGAGGGGATACCTTTTAAAAGTATATGCATTGCAAATATAATTGGGATCTTGGGTTTGGCCTTTCTGTCCCTACTATGACATTGTTCTGTAACTGATGCCAACGCATATATATTCATTTAGGCATCACAATATTCTCATTATTTACTTGTTTTAACAAATATCAGGCTCAATAAATATACAGGGGTTCTTTTGGGGGAATAGAAGTATAATTGGCTGGGATTGTAAGAAACATAGGGTTTTTCATCTAATTACCAATGATTATAACTTCATAGTTTAATCACCAAAAAATAGTTCTATTTACAATATAGTCAAAATGCTTTTAGAATCCCAACAGTTCCATGAAATGGATAGAGGTTATTTTCATATGACAAACAAGGAAACTGAGGTGCATTGAGGTTCAGTGGAAATCTAAGGGGGTAGGATTCTAAAAGGTCATTCTTAAGGTTTACTTGGTAAATGCTGAGAGAAGTTATAACCAGATCATTTTGTAGCTTTCACTTTTTTCATATATCACTACTGTCAAGGAATCATGGTCACATGCATTCTCTTAACTTTTCAAAACCCTGCATGGTAGTCATGGCAGGGATTATCATGTCCATCTTGTGGGCAAGGTAACTTGGTTATCACTGAGTCAAGTTGACATAGATTGTAAAAACTTGCAAATCTGAGATTCGAACCCAATTTTTAGAATTCCAAAATCAAATCTTCTCCAAAGTCTCATTTAATATAATCCAACTAACCTAAATCCCCAACAGGGATATGTGGGCATACATGCATTTCAATTAGCTAGTAGAAGAATATAAAAAGAAAAAACCCAAACTATTATCTATAATTCTGGGTTCTGCTCTTGTTTGGTTAATGTTCAGCTCAATTAGATAAATTTGCAGACCTCCAGACACCTCAGCCAAGAAAGAGGTAGTATAACAAGTTAATAGCATGGGCTCTGGAATTGGACTGCTGGGGCTCAAACCTTGGTCCCATCACTTGCTGTGTGAGCTGAGAGCAACCAGCCTCCAAAACCCCACTTTCCTTATCTGTAAGATGGGTTTGCCCATCTGTAAGATGGGTTTGCCAACAGCATCTCCCTTAGGGTGGTCATGAGGGTAAAGGAAATATTGTGTGTATAAAGCTCAGCACACAATGAATACTTAATAAACAGTGCCAATGATCATAATAAGGAAGAAAGATGATTGGTTTCTAATTTTTATCCTGACAGGAATCTGTCCTACATCATTAAAAAAAAATTTTTTTCCCCATGACCAGAAAATCTAGTTTTTCAGACCACTGTGTCCTGAGGGAACTTACATGAAAGTCAGTATTCCTGGATTTCAGTCTTGGCTCTATCATTTCCAAGTATATGACCTTGGACAATGTCAGGATCCAAACTGGAAGTTATTTAAATGCTACCTAGTTCTGAGGTTTTTCTACATGAATAGTTCATTCATAGGGAAAACAGCCTCCTAGCACAGACCCTTGCATGTGGCAAATTTTTAGCAAATGGTATCTATTATTATCATCTTTATTAATTAAACACAAATAATAATCCCTGACCTGCCTATCACTCTGTTTTGTGATGAAGATCAAAAGACAAAATAGATGTGAAGATGTTTTGTTAAACAGAAGCTTTGGCATAGTAATAAGGGATTATTGTTACTATTAGGTTTTTGTTTTGTTTTGAATCTGAGGCAGTCACATGAATAAACTAGTAACGTTCAACTTCTGTTGTTTTATTTTAGAAAATATTGTTGTTTATAATCACACTCTACAAACTTTACAAGAAGGGCTCAGATTTTTTTCAGGCTTTGCTGGTCAGCCCAGATGGGAATCTTCTCCCAATTCAAGACAATAATCTCTTCCTGTCCTTGGGTCTGCAAGAGAGAATTTTGAAAAAACTTCAGACGGTGGAAAACAAAGTGAAGGACCTGGAGGGGATGATCATTTCCCACAAACCTGCCTCAAAGAGGGAGTGCTCCTCTGAGCCCTACTGCAGCTGCTCTGACTGCCAGAGTCCCTTACCCACATCAGGGTTTACTTCCACATCTGAAATGTGATGGACTCCAATCTTTTCCAGAAAAGCACTGTTTTCCCCTCATGTGTGTGATGCTGTAACAATAAAGATAGAAAACTATATTGAAATGACCCTGTAAGGACTGGCCCTCTCTTTGGTAGGGCCCAGCTTCTACTTATGTATGTGGTAGGGTTATGTGGGGTGTAGTAGTGTCAAAAATGTTTCCGAGATAATGATGCCACTTGGTAGGCTGGAGACCCTAAACAGCCATATAGAAAAGGAGAGCCCAACTGGAATCCATGGGAAAGAAGGGAAAGTGGGTCAGTGATACGGCCTTGAGCTCCATGCTGAACAGGTTGGATTAGATATAATAAAAACAGCAAGAAAGTGCTGGGGTTTTTTAATAAAGATTTTATTTATTCATGAGAGACACACAGAGAGAGAAGCAGGCTCCATGCAGGGAGCCCCATGCGGGACTTGATCCCAGGACCCCGGGATCACGCCCTGAGCCAAAGGCAGACACTCAGCCACTGAGCCACCCAGACATCCCAGAAAGTGCTGTGGACTGTCCTGTAGAGGTGGGCTGGCTCTTGTGCTGGTCTTCAATCTAAAGGTAAATATGTAGCCCATGAGTTTGTCTGCATTAATTACTCAGAGATGGACAAGGATACTTAATTTTATCCAACTTTTACTGATACTCCAGGCTAAAGCATTATGACAATCCTTGGGAATCTGTCCTGAGTGCTTTAGGAGCAGCCAGTTCGGCTGGTTGGGCAGGTAATTTTAGAACAAGGAGTAATATAAAATACAGTGGGATCCCATCATCTTGAACTTAGCTGAATTCTCCTATGTGAATCCCAGGTGGGCAGGGAGGGAAGGAGGTACCCACCTGTCATTTCACTTGATGAGTGTGTGCTCTGATGGGAAGCGGGAGGACACATGGTAGCAGATGATCCCCTCAGTGGATGGGTCTCAGATCCCACAAGCCTAGTGTGTGCATTCTTGCCACAATAAAGGTGATTAAACAGTCATTGAAATACTTCGTAACCATCTGACACCCAAATGAAACTCTGCAAAGAAGCAGTGATTGCCATGCTGGAGCAAAAACTGGCTGTGTTATTCAACAGGAAGAAAAAATAATCTCCCTAGTGGCATCTTCCTAAGGGATCAACGAGGGCAATTTTGATCATAATTTTTTTTCCAGTGCACTGGCATTAAAATGCAACCTCTGTGTAGTGTAGTGTCCTCAGCGTAAAAACAGGTCAGTGAATACAAGGAAGGGCCAGGAAAGGCTTTCCCGAGGAAGTGACACAGAGTAGTCCCATAAGGGGTTACATAGGCAGACAATGAATTGGAAGGTATTCATGCCTGTGGAATTAGTATGGAGCCAAATAAAAGAGGGTGGCTTGGCTGGAAAACAAGGACAATTTCAGGGTGGCTGGAGCACTGGCTATTTCCTATGCTACAATGAAGAATTTTGGCTTCAGGGTAAAACACACTAATCTCATCTTCAGATCAGCTTTAATTCATGATGTGCATTATCTGACAGTGTAGGTGAGAAGTTTGTTAACTATGCTGCTGAAGGAGTGCCATGCAATCTTTTATAATCAATGTCTCAGAGCACCTGGCTCATGGGACTCTTGATTTTGGGGACATGAGTTTGAGTCCCACACTGGGTACAGAGGTTACTTTTTTTTTTTTTAAGATTTTATTTATTTATTCATGAGAGACGCACAGAGAGAGGCAGAGACACAGGCAGAGGGAGAAGCAGGCTCCCTGCGGGGAACCCGACGTGGGACTCGATCCCAGGATCCCGGGGTCACACCCTGAGCCAAAGGCAGACACTCAACCATTGAGCCACCCAGGCGTCCCTCATTGTAGGTTTTTAGATAGGGGAGTAACAGAGATAAGGTAATCTGGGAGACAGAATAGAATGAGATAGATGTTAAAGATAAAACAGCTGGTTACTTCTATGAGGATGCACAGTGTGGTAGAAACTGAGGGAGTCACCTTGTTTCTGGCTCTCAGCTCCCCAGGAAGGGTGTGTAATTTACACCACAGTCACATTCCCAGTGTGGAGAGTAAGCCATTCTTGAGACCAGAGCACTTATGTCCAGGGCATCAGTTAAGAAAACCGATGTGTAGCAAGCAGAGATTCAAGGCAAAATGGAAAAAGGGCTTGAGAGCTACTTTACCATTCAGGTTAGATGGGGTAGATGAACTACACTACCCCAGTGTCCACCACTTTAGAGATGAGAATCCTTATCTTCCAAATACAATTTCTCTCCTTTGGCAAAACCCTAACAATAGCCTCCTTTGAGGCTCTCATTTAGGTCTTCACACACATGAGCCCCTCTATTTATAAACACTAGCTTTCTGTACAGGGGAAAAAATAATTAACTTTCCAGATTTTGCTTCTGCCTCTGCTGATCCCACCCTAGTCTTAGCCCCCATCATTTCTTACCTTGATTCTCAAAATGGCATCCTAACTGGACTCCCTGCCCCCATCTGTGTCCCCATTCAATTTATTCTCCCCACAGTTAGCAAAGAGATGTTACTTCTCTGCTCAAAATTTCCAAGGACTTCTTATTTCACTCTGAGTAAAAAAGTTATTAACTAAAGGACTGTGTATGATGACATGATCTGTCTTCCTTCTTTCTTACACTCTTCATCCCACACCTTCTTATTCCTCAAATGTGCTAACCATAGACTGGCCTTAGGGCCTTTACATTTGCCATTCACTTCCTCACACTTTCCCCAGATACCCATGTAGCTTCTTCTCTTACTTTCTTTGAGTTTATGCTCAAACGTCAATCTGAGAGGTCTTCCTTGACTATTTTAAACTTTTAAAAAAGGTTTTATTTATTCATTTATTTGAGAGAGAGAGAGAGAGTGCAAGAGAGCAAGAGCGGAGGGAAAGGCAGAAGGAAAGAGAATCCCAAGCCAACTCGTCGCTAAGCCTGGAGCCCAATACAGGGCTCCATACACGACCCTGAGACCACAACCCAAGCTGAAATCAAGAGTTGGATGCCCAGCAGACTGAGCCATCCAGGTGCCCCTTCCTTGACTATATAAGGAAGGTGCCCCTCATGCCAACATGCTGTATCCCCCCTCTCCCTGCTTTTTCTGACAGCACCTATCTTCCTATTATCTATCTTCCCCTCCCTTTACCTCTGCCTACTAAGAATGTAAGCTTTAGGGGAGAAAGAGGTTTTGTCTAATTCGCTGCTATATCCCAGGCACTTAGCCTGGCACTTAGCAGATATTCCATCTTCACCGAATGGATGAGTGAATTCCAGTCTTCACTCTTAGAAACCCTTTATCAGCTTCCTGTTCCCCTATGTCTTCAGACACATGGTGACAGATCAACACTACGATGTGGTTCTCCCAAGTATGGGGAGTTAGTAGCTAGTCTTCATAGGGCACTTGTTTAGAGCCAGATACGTAACTAAAAACTACACGAATTTTGTGTAGTTTGTTCCTCACCATAGGAGGTGGTAAGTACTATTATTCTCAGTTTGCTGATGAGAAACTGATGCAGAGAGATTAGGTAATTTGCTAATATGTGGTGCAACCGTGACTGGCACTCAACCAGCTTAATCTAAATCTGTGCTCTTAGCCACAAAGTTTGGTTGGCAGGAGTTTCTCTGAGGCTTTTGGACAAACTGCAGCAGGATGGAGCTGAATGAATCCAGACAGATGAAGACAAAAAAACCAAAGAGGGTATGGCAATGACAGCCCAAGGGAGAAAGCATTTTGAAAAAGTGTTTATCCCCTCATATTTTAAAGTTGATACCTAAAAGTCTTCATCATAGGGGCATCTGAGAGTAGCTGAGTCTGTTAAGCCTCCAACTCTCCATTTCAGCTCAGGGCAGGACCTCAGGGTTGTGAGATAGTGCCCTGCTGGGTGTGAACCTGCTTGGGATTCTCTCTCTCTCCCTCTCCCTCTTCTCCGCCCCCCTCCAACTCCTGCACACTCTTGTATGTATGGGCGCTCTTTCTGTAAAAATAAAAAGTTTTCATCATAAATTTAAGTAGTTGCAATCAATGTAAACTCTGACAAGCTGTAAATAAGGACAATGTAAGATAAAACTATTAAATCACTTTTTATAACATATCGAACAGATTCTACATAACAATGACCGACCATCATCATCCATTTAAAATTACACAAGTGAAAAAAAATAAAATAAAATTACACAAATGAGCTCTTTAACATTCACCGAATGAATTTCGGTGAACAATATTCGGTGAATTGAATATTTTATCATCCCTAAATTATATTTGTGTTCTACTCCCCCATAAAATGGTATCCAAAGGTAATAATTTTTATGTTTCAAAAACCTTTTGTTGATCACTTACTCGAGATAAAATATAGGTTAAGGGAATTAAATTTTTTTCCCTGTAATTGTATAGCTCTATGTATTAGAATTCTTCCAAGTTGAGTAATCATTACAATTATCTTTAATATACAGCCACTCAAAATGGCATGATTATAAATTTTGATGATACATAAATATAAAAGGTAAAATTCTACTGGAAATGCATCTCTCAGTGAGATGGATGGGGTTTCCCCACTAATTAATGCATGTATCTAAATGACTATTTCTTGCAGCTACATTAACAGGGTTCAGTTTCAATTCTCTCTTTTCATAGATACAGTGCCAAGAAATACTACTCACATAGATAGATGGGTATGCTGGTAATTTTGTTTAGAAATGTCAATCAATTTTTTGGTTTCCTTCTGAGTGATATGCCAAAAGTCAAATAGTGCTCCTTCCTCAGCTGACATTTCAATTAGGTCTATTACTAATTCTACTGAAGGCAAAAAAACCAAAAAACAAAATGGAAACAATCTGTCTAGCAAAAGAATTTGTTATCCTGTCATTTGAGTCCTTCACTTTTCTCAAGTGATTTTTAAAATTATACTGATTACTTTCTCTTAGAGGCATTTAGGAAGAGTTGGGGACTTGGAGACATTAATTTCAACACATCTTTAGCATTACAATATTACTGTAATTTAAATATATTTTAGTTGCAGCTGCATATTTAGCTCAATTTATTGTAAATAATAATTATGCAAATTAGCAAAGCCAGTCTCTCTGACAAACCAATTAACCAAATTAGACTTTTCTGTGGTGAGAAAAGAAATTTCCCTTTTCAAGTCAAGTGAACGCCTTAACAGCCATTCCAAGGTGACTCCATTTCACTTCTCCATTCCAAGATACACAGGGCACTGAGCTTTGACAGGAGTTTGTCCTTGGAGAAAGGAAGGCCCTTTCAGCTCAGGTGTTTTTACTTTTTTAAAGATTTTATTTAATTATTCATGAGAGACACAGAGGCAGAGACACAGGCAGAGGGAGAAGCAGGCTCCCTGCGGGGAGCCCAGTGGGGGGACTCGATCCCCGGTCTCCAGGATCATGTCCTGGGCCTAACGCAGATGCTCAACCGCTGAGCCACCTGGGCTGCCCAGGTGTTTGTATGTATATATGTATCAATGTATTATTTATTCATAAATATTTTTCTTATTTATTCATGAGACACACACAGAGAGAGAGGCAGAGACACAGGCAGAGGGAGAAGCAGGTTCCATGCAGGGAGCCCGACGTGGGACTCGATCCTGAGTCTCCAGGATCAGGCCCTGGGCCTAAGGATGCTCAACCGCAGAGCCACCTGGGCTGCCCAGATGTGTGTATATATATGTATGTATAAAGATTTTATTTATTTATTCATGACAGACACACAGAGAGAGGCAGAGGGAGAAGCAGGCTGCATGCAGGAAGCCCGACGTGGGGCTCAATCCCGTGACCCCGGGGTCACACCCTGGGCCGAAGACAGACGCTCAGCTGCTGAGCCAGGTGTTCTTAATCTATGCTTTCCTTGCTTTGCTCTAGAACAGACTGTGGGGCAAAAATCTCACATCTGCCTTCACACGGGGTGGAAGAGGCAAAGCCTTTTTTTTTTTTTTTTAAGATTCTATGGATTTATTTGGCAGAGTGCACAGGCAGGGGGAGAAGCAGGGTCCCCGCAGGGCGGAGAGCCCGAGCTGGGGCTCGACCCCAGGCTCTGGGGGCAGGGCAGAGCCGCAGGAGACTCCGGCAGGCCTGCGCTCAGAGCACCCGCACCGGCACGTGCCGCGCCCTCTCCCCGGGCCCGCCCTCCGGGCCCCGGGCCGTTCCCAGGAGCCGAGCCCCTCCCCCCGCGGGCTGCGGCCGCGGCGCAGCCTGGGCACCCGTCGCACCCCGACGGAGGGAGGAAGCCCTCGGGGCTCCGCCGCGCTGCCGCAGCCGGGACGAAGACTGGAACCCTCGGCGGGAGCCCGGCACCCCGGCGGGAAGCGGAAGGACCGCGGGCGCCGCGCAGCCCAGCGAGAGCCGAGCGGGCGCCGCCGGAAGCCGGAACTCGGCGGAAGCCGCCCGCGCGCCTCCGACCGGAAGTGGGGAAGGCGCGATCGTCCTTTTCCGGCAGCAAGGAGGCGGCCCCGGGGGCGTCGCCTTGGGGAAGACTGTTGGTGTAGCACTGCGGGCTGTGCGGAGGGGGTGGGATGGAGGCGGGGGCCGGTGTGGGGGCGCTCGGAAGGGACGGATATCGCGGTGGCACTGCGGGCACGGCGTGAGGCGACGCGTGTCGCGGAGGCACGGCTGCACGCCGAGGGAGCCGGCGGAACCGGGCGGCCGCGGGGATGTGGGCGTCGCTGGGCGCGGTGTGGGAGATGCCGGCGGAGAAGCGTATCTTCGGGGCGGTGCTGCTCTTCTCCTGGACCGTGTACCTTTGGGAGACCTTCCTGGCCCAGCGGCAGGTGAGCCTAGGCGGGGCCCACCTGGGCCCGACACCTGGTCAGCCCCGGCCCCCGCCGCGCCCCCGGGGGCTCCCCCCGCGAGGCCTCGTGAGCCGGCCGCGCCCCGGAGGGCGTGTGGGGCAGCTGGGAGCTCCTCGGCGCCGCGAGCCTGGGACCCCGGCCGCTTGGGGCCCGGTGAAGGGGAAGGCAGGGCCGCCGCTGGGTCGGACGCGCCCGGCCTGGCCCGCAGCGCCCCCGGGATCCTCGGGCCCGGACCTACCTCCCGTCTGTGGCCGCGGCCCGTGTGCCTCCAGAAGCACAATTTTTAGAATCCCAACTTCCCTATGACCTTTGTGTCATCACGCTCCACCACGGGCTTAGGAAACCATTTTCTGAAAATAGAGACTTCACAGCCCTTCCTGGATTTTTTTTTTTTTAAACCGTATACAGTATGGTATTTTGCCCAAAGAGCAATAGCCTCATTTTTTTTTTCTTAAAAACGTCTTTATATTGTTGTTTAGACGATTACAATTGTAGAAAGTAGGAAGTGAAAGTGACTAACAGTTCTTATTGGAGGTGATCGTAATGAACAGCCCCCGTGGATTAGAGAGCTGACCTTTTTTCTGTTTTGTAAGATTTTATTTAGTCATGAGGCAGAGAGAGAGAGAGAGGCAGAGACACAGGCAGAGGGAGAAGCAGGCTCCGTGCAGGCAGCCCGATGGTGGGACTCATCCCGGGACCCCGGGGTCACGCCCTGGGCCGAAGGCAGGTGTTCAACCACGGAGCCACCCGGCCCTCCCGAGAGCTGAACTTTTAAATGAGAGATTTTAAGTTTTGTCTCCTGGTTGCTGTCTCTCACTGCTGATTCGCTTTACCTACACTCTTGTATCTTGTCGTTGAATTGTGTCAACCATGATGGTTATTTATGAGAACCATTCTCTTTTTAACTGCTGGAACTGGGATCCCTGGGTGGCGCAGCGATTTGGCGCCTGCCTTTGGCCCAGGGCGCGATCCTGGAGACCCGGGATCGAGTCCCACGTCGGGCTCCCGGTGCATGGAGCCTGCTTCTCCCTCTGCCTGTGTCTCTGCCTCTCTCTCTCTCTCTCTCTCTCTCTCTCTCTCTGTGACTATCATAAATAAAAAAAAAAAATTTAACTGCTGGAACTCTTTTTCTTGAGCATTACAGCCATTTTCCTCTGCAAATTTCTTCTCAGATTACATCCTGCATGAATCTTTAAATGGAAATTTTTATTACTTCGTCAGTGTCAGAGTGGCATCTCGATCTCTTTTATTTTTTTTCAGATTTTATTTATTAATTAGAAATACAAAAAGGGCGGGGGGGGGCAGAGACACAGGCAGGGGGAAAAGCAGGCTTCATGCATGGAGCCCATCGTGGGACTCGATCCCGGGTCTCCAGGATCACATCCCCAGACCAAAGACGGTGCTAAACCGCTGAGCCACTGGGGCTGCCCTCGATCTCTTCTTTTAGTCCAGAGTCTTTATTTATTTACTTATTTTTAAATAATCATTTGAGTCATCTTGTCTTTTTTTTTTTTTTTTTTTTTAAGTAATCTTTATGTCCAACATGGGGCTGGAACTCAGGACCCCAGGATCAAAAGTCGCATGCCCTCCCAACTGAGCCAGCCAGGTGCCTCTAGCCCAGGTGCAGAGCACTAGGTTCTTTGACAGATCTCTTTGGCTAGCTTCATTAGTTCAGTAGAGAAGATCCTTTGCATAAAAGAAACAGGTATATCCTGTCTAAATGGGGGATGGGGTATTGAACACCTATCTGTCTTTAATGATAAACCCCATTACAGTAACTACTTTTCAATAATGTCTCCTTTACTCAGTGATGGTTTAATATAATGCCTTTTGTTGAGGATTTGGTAAGGTGCCCAACAATATATAGAGAAGCCATGTGTCATAAAACCATTATAGGAGATGCCGTCCATTATATTAGTTTCTGTGCCCTGTATTAGGTTCCATGGGGTGAAATTACCATTTAGAATTTGGGGTAATAATAAAGTTTGTCTTTCTTGAAGACCTGATCGGTTTCTATTTGTCAGTCCTCAAATTTCCTGTAATTTGGTTTCTAGGACCAGGTTTAATAATGAGCCACAATACTTACAGCTAGCATATTTGCTTCCTTCTCCTTTCCATGAATTTGTTTTCTAAATTTTACAGGACGTATGTTTTACTTGGAGTGAGTGGTGCCCTTTGTGATGTACAGTTTTGGTTTACATATGCAGACTGAAGTATGATAACAACCCTGATTTTAATTTTACCTAGTCAGCCAGCCTCGGTTTCTCTTGTTCTGCTTTTACTTCGCTGAATCAATTGTTTTAGTGGTCAATGCACTTGATCAGATGCAATATTTGTGTATCTATAAAGCAAATTCAGTAGGCTTAAGTGACAATAAATGCTATAAACTACTCAATATCTGAACATAAATAACTACTGTAATAAAAAAAATTACTTGGTTTGACTGTCTCAGAGTGTTTTCTTCAAAATATTTCAGAGACGGATCTATAAAACAACAACTCGTGTGCCACCGGAGTTAGGACAGATCATGGATTCAGAAACCTTTGAGAAGTCCCGACTGTATCAGCTGGATAAAAGTACTTTCAGCTTCTGGTCAGGACTCTATTCAGAGATTGAAGGCACTGTGAGTAATTTACTTCTTGGAAACACAATCCATCAAATTGTTTAATACTTTGTGGGATCCCTGGGTGGCACAGCGGTTTGGCGCTTGCCTTTGGCCCAGGGTGCGATCCTGGAGACCCGGGATCGAATCCCACGTCGGGCTCCCGGTGCATGGAGCCTGCTTCTCCCTCTGCCTATGTCTCTGCCTCTCTCTCTCTCTCTCTCTGTGACTATCATAAATAAATAAAAATTAAAAAAAAAAGATTAAAAAAAAAAGTTTAATACTTTGTAATATTTGTTTTCATCTTGTATTTTTGTTACACAAAAGAAGGTACCTTATCTACAAATCCCAGAATGCTTTCTTAACCTTTGTTGTCAATAGTAATGGATGTAGAGCAAAAGAGGCTGAAATATAATTGTTAGTGAGTTGAAAACTGTGCTATAACTGTCATAGATCAGGTGTGAAAAACAACCTTATATTGTTAAGTTATTATTATAGCAGTCCCTCCTTCTTGCCTCTTTTTTTTAAGGTGTATTTATTTGAGGGGCCCCTGGATGGCCTAATCACTTAAGCATCTGCCTTTCAGTGGGGTCATGATCTCATGGTCCTCCGATTGAGCCCTGCATAGGGCTCCCTGCCCAGCAGGGGCCTGCTTCTCTCTCTCCCCCTTTTTCTGTTCCTCCCCCTGATCATGCGCTCTCTCTTTCTCTCTCTCTCTCTCTCTCTCTCTCAAATAAATAAATCTTTTTAAAAAAAGATTGTAGAAGCAGACTTCCCACCAAGCAGGGAGCCTGATGCGGGCTCAATCCCAGGACCTCAGTGTCAGGACCTGAGCCAAAAGCAGACACTTAACTGATTGAGCCACCCAGGTGCCCCTTCCTGCCTCTAGCTTAACCCTGTCTTCCACATTGCAGTCAAAGGAATCCTGAAGGACAATTCAGATCATGTTATTAATACTCCTATATAAAAGCTATGATTGGCTCACTGTTTCCTTCAGGGTGAAGCCCATATTTCTTGGGCTTTTTGAGGTCCTTTTTAACCTGGCCATTACTTACTTCAGCTTCATCTTTTTTTCCCTTTCCCCAAATTCTTTCCCCTTCTTTTTGCCCACCTCATACCCAGCTTGGTTTCCTGTGACTTCGGGTCTTTTCATATGCTGGTATCTTCCAGGGGCGCCCACCTCTTCAAGTCCACTCTCGCTAGAAGCTGATTAATCCCAACTCCTCCCATTAGGTTCCAGCTGAGACGTCATGTTTCCTAAGAATCAGTTTGAAACTTCCCCTGTCCCTCAGGACTGGACAGGGTAGCATCTTATCATTATTCCTATCAGAGTACTTACCACATTGTATTGAATTTTCCTGTTTAGTTGACAGACTTACGAGTTCCTTAAAGAAAGGATACTTTAAGGTTTTGTAGTCTTTTGGTACCTAATGCCTGGTATAAAAATAAGCACATTATTCATATTTCTTTAAAATTTTATTTATTTATTTATTTATGATAGTCACACACACACACACACAGAGAGAGAGAGAGGCAGAGACAGGCAGAGGGAGAAGCAGGCTCCATGCACCGGGAGCCCGACATGGGACTCGATCCCGGGTCTCCAGGATCGCGCCCTGGGCCAAAGGCAGGCGCTAAACCGCTGCGCCACCCAGGGATCCCACATTATTCATATTAATTGAATGAAACAAGTGGCAGATCATTTTTACCTAGTAAAACAGACCCAGGCTAACCCCCATGCTAAAAGAAGAAAGGCTGTATAGTGTAGAGCAGTGTTTCTTAGTCTTTTTTTCATGATCCCCTCTGGCCACCGGCCCTGTATATTTTTAGACTTTTTTTTTTTTTTTAAGTGGGCTCTGTGCCCAACATGGGGCTTGAACTCATGACCCTGAGATTAAGAGTTGCATGCTCCACCAACTGAGCCAACCGGGTACCCCTAGACATTTTTTCCTTAATCACCCTTCCATGAAATTTTAGTACCACAGATAGATTGTATATCTGTGTCTGTACTATATGTATGTGTATCTGTGCTTTATAAATGAAGATTTTTTTCCTTTCCCAAAAACCAGTTCTTGGTTTTCCACCTCCATGAACA